CTCCCTGCCCTCATCCCAAATCCCGCATCCCTCGTTGCCTTCCCAAATCCCTCCCGTCCCTCCCTGTCCTCATCCCGCCTTTCCCAGCAGGCGAAGGACCAGCCAGCGCTGGGACAAGCACAACCACACCAAACCATCAGGAAAATCCCTCGGGAACGGATTCAGCTCATCCCCTTCTCCCTGAAAAGGGATTTGACATCCCGGAGGACCCAATCCCGAGGGATAAGAGGAGATTTTTATGCACCGAATGCGGGAAGAGCTTCAACCACAGCGCCTACCTCCTCCGCCACCAACGCATCCACTCCGGAGAACGTCCTTATCCCTGTCCGAAATGCGGGAAAACTTTTACCTGGAATTCCCACCTGAATTCCCATCAAAAAACCCATACGGGTGAAAAACCCCATCGTTGTCCCGAATGCCAGAAATGCTTCAGCCGTCGATCCAACCTCCTCCGTCATCAACGCCTACACGGGATGGAAATTCCATATGGAAAAAGCTTGAAGGTTGAGCGTATCCTGCATTCCCGGAGCCATCCGGATGATATTCCCTATATTTGTTCCGAATGTGGGAAATGTTTCAGCGCTCGGTCTAATCTTTTCCGTCATCAACGGATCCACACCGGAGAAAAACCTTATAGATGTCCCGAATGCGGGAAAAGTTTCGGGCAAAGCTCGGATCTTATCCAGCATCGTCGAACCCACACCGGAGAAAAACCCTTTTCCTGCTCATTTTGCGGGAAATCCTTTAACGAACGATCCCATCTCATCCGACATCAAGGTCGGCATACGGGGGAAAAACCCTACAAGTGTCCGGAATGTGGGAAAAGCTTTGTCCAAAGCTCGGATCTCCTTATCCATAGGCGATCCCACGCCGGCGAAACTCCCTATACGTGTTCCGAGTGCGGAAAACGCTTTCGGGTCAGCTCCAGCTTGGTACGGCATCAAGGATTACACACGGGAGAAAAACCCTATAAATGCGGGGAATGCGGGAAAGGATTCCGCGCTCGTTCCGTCCTCGTGATCCATCAACGGCTCCATACGGGAGAACGACCCTACGAGTGTCCGGCTTGCGGGAAACGCTTCGTTCAAAGCTCCAACCTCCATCGGCATCGTCGGATCCATATGGGAGAGAAGCCGTATCCCTGTTCCGTCTGCGGGAAGAGGTTCAGCGGCCGTTCCAGTTTGGTTAAGCATCGGCGGCTCCATGAATCGGCCGGGGAGGGGGAGGATTTGGGATGGAGGTCGGAAAAAGAAGCGGAGGAGGAGGAATCGCGCCGGAGGTGCTCTTGAGGATCGCCGCCGTGGGGGAAAAAGGGGGACCCCCAGGAC